GGTTGCTGGAAGGTGAGGTCACGGGGAAGGGGGTTGGAAGGAAGAATGGGGCCAGCTGAAATGTTTGCAGGAGCTCAGCTGCCCGCCAGCACCGCCTTTGGCCTCTGATAGTTGCTGGAAGAAAAACATTCAGAACTCTGAAGGTTAGGGAGTCGTTAGCTCCTTACACGGGTGCTGTGTAGCTCGGTAGGTGAGTCCAGGAATCGAGGGCACTTGGGGTTTATTTTTAACTTCCCCTAATTTTTGGCGTCTCTGTCCGCAACGTTCTCTCTGACAGCAGGAACCACGGAGCTGGGTTTTGGCCCTGGATTTCAGTCTGTGTTGCTGGGGCTCCTTTGATTTTCCAGGGCGAAGGGGGACGTTCTGCTCCCCCTCTTTCAATGCTCCAGGGTTTCAGGGAGGGTTTGCAGAAGCAAGAATTGAGCATCTCCTGTGACTCTGCGCCGAGCTGGGTGCAACAAATGGGATGCTGAGAGGTCAGGGAAGAGCGACGCGTCTGACTCTTTGAAGTGCAATAAGGTGCAAATGTTTGTCTGAGGCTTGGGGTTTGGAGTTTTGTGGGGTTTTTTTCCCTTTTTTTCTTTTTTTTTCCTCTTTATTCTCCTTTTGCGCTGCTGGCTGAAAAACAGACCTGCAGTGGCTGGCGAGTTGCGCCACTCCAGCTCACCAAAACCCATCCTGAGCCTGCATCGTCCAGATAAAATCCGTCCCAGAAATCCTGAAAATGCTCAGGTTTGCTACGTATTTTTAAGAGAGCAGAAATTAAATACTGGGCTTTGGCCTGAGCTAACAGAGCTGTGAAAAGCCCTCCCTTGTGTGGAAGAAAGGCTTTTGGATTAACCCCAATCGTATGTTAAGAAGTGAACAGTGATTGATTTGTTTTGTCACTTAATGGATAAGTCCCCACCCTGCTCTTTTCTCTGCGTCTTGAGTTTGCTTTCAGGCAACTGATTTCAAACTTTCCATTATGATTTTATCAGAATTTTGAAACTTTCTCCTCTGATGTAAAGCAAAAGCCCCCTCCAGCTCACTCTGCTGAAGGCTGGGAATATTTCGTGCTACTAGTTCTGTTTTAGGATAAAAAGATGTAGGAACAACTAAATTACAATCCAGTTTTATTGGACACGTTGCAAAAAGAGAGAAAGGAAAACACAGCGTCGTATCACTATCCCTGAAGTATAAAAAGCTGCAATTTTCTTTTTTTTTTTAATGGTACTTTCAGCAAAAAAAAAAATAATTAAAAGACCTGGTGGAAGGCTAGAGGGGTAAATTCCAGCAGAAAGGGGAAAGCTGATATTGGGCACTGGTGTGCCTTTGGGCTCCTGCTCCCAGTTTCCTCCTTCCCTGTGTGCTGGGCTGAAGCCTGACTGCACTTCTCAGTTTACCAAATCCCTATCTTTTGGCAGAGGAACCCACAGACAGCGGAGATGCTGAGATACCCCCAGGGGCGGTGGGGACATGGCCTTTCAGGCAGATTTTTTTGGCGTGATTTGGCTGCTGCTGCCAGGACAGCAGGGAAAATCAGTGAGACTTGGGCTGTCAGATGATTTTTGGCCTTTTTTTTTGGTTTTAAGCCATTCTAACAAAACCTGGCATGAGACAGGAAAGCAATCCAATTCGACTGCAAACACTCATCTTGCTTTTAAAAATCATAGAACATAGAATCATCGAACTTTTGGGGCTGGAAGAGAACTTCAAGATCATTGAATCCAACCTTTTCCCAGCCCTATCCACATCGCTTTGAAGAACTCTCTGCCTCAGCTGTTATTTAGAATTTTAAAAATCCTGAAATTTAGGGGGAAAAAAAGCCCTTTTCTGTACGCTTTGGATCAGTTGCTGATGGCTCCTCTGGCAAAACACACCCGCAAGATTACGTGTGAGGTGCCACCAAGGGCAAATTTTCATTTAAAGAAGCAAAAGGACAGGAAAGGACGAGCAGTTTGGGCTTTCTTTGGGATAAGCTCGTCGTGAGTTGAATCCGCACCCCTGTGGGTGGAACTTTTCAGATGAAGATGTCTCAGGTGCTTTCCTAACATTGGGCTCTGAACCACCGGCCAGGCTCACGTGCCTGACTCCACGCAGCTGCGATGCCCAGCACATCTGGAAGGAAAATGTTTTTCAAAGCTTGGGGAGAAGAGGGATTATTTTTCCCCCCTCTCAGAAATGATCCTAACAAGTTCTCTGCTTCATAATAAGGGATATTTTAAGAGAGACCCCCCCATGCTTGCAAACCACTGCCCAGCAAGCTCTTGGGGTATTTCTACATAGCAGAAAAATAACCTGCCTCTCTGATAAAGATGAGTTTCTTAACATTGAAGGAATGAGCTTGGTTCATCCCAGCACAGCAGGCTGAACTGGAGCCAAGTTCTCAGCCCATCCTCGGGCCCCTTTGGGCCAGAACTGAGCGAAAAACCCAAGTTACTGCATCTTCGCTGCTCTTTGAGCTGTCTGAGCTGACAGCTGTCAGATAGCCCCGATTACAAACGAGCTGCTCAGCCTCATTAAAAGCAAACAAACAAACAAACAAATAAATGAAAAAAAAAAAGATTCCTCATTCAGAAAATCACTTAGGCCTGTGCTTTCCTTTTAATCCTGTTTCAGGTACTGCTTAACATGTGCTCTGCTGCTTTTCTTGAGCTGTGATCCAAACACCGAAGAACTACGGTGAGAGGAGCTGGGACAGAGGTGAGTGGGAGCGAGGGGGTTGGTGAGCAGGAGTGATGCAGGAGCGATGGTTTTGGGGAGGGTCTGGAGTTGGTTTTACTCAGGCTGTGTAGCATTCTTCAGGCTTTGGCTTTTTATGCTCTTTTTGCTGGAGGAGGTTTTGGAGACGATTTTCACACCTGGGTTGGTGCCTTTTGCACTTCCAGAGCTGAAATTCCCTCCGCTGGTGCTCAGGCTGCTGCTGCCACCTCCGCCAAGACCACTTGCAATGCTGAGGCCACTGCCTCCTCCAATTCCACCTCCAAGACCACCGCCACCACCAAGTCCAAGTCCTCCTCCGCTTCCAAAGCTGTAGCCTCCACCGCCGCCGCCTCCTCCAAGACCATAACCACTTCCACCGCCTCCTCCGAGACCGTAACTGCTTCCACCGCCTCCTCCGAGACCGAAACCACCTCCTCCTCCTCCGCTTAGGCTCAGTCCACCGAATCCTCCTCCTAACCCAGCTCCACCAGCCATGCCAGAGCTGGAGCTGATGACAGCTGCAAGAAAAAGCAACCAAGGGTTTGGACATCTGCTTGGCAGTCACGCAATTCCAGACAGCATCAGCAGCAGCACCTCAATCTACAAGGCTTGAAGCCAACTTCTGTGCCCCGTGCAAGCCACTAATACTGGTAGAGGGCCCCAGAAGTCTCCTGTTGGGCAAAACCTTCCTTTTCCCAAGTTTGCCTCTGCTCCCAAGAGTCCCAAAACAAGACAAGCACTGTGATACTTACAGTAGCTGATGGGGTTGAGTCCCTCTCCACTCAGCCTGTTGGAGGGCAGATAAAGTGGAGGTTAGAGGAAAAAAAAAAGGAGACAGGCAGGAGGACCAACTGCTAGAAGGGGCAAAGCGATGGTTGCTGTTATTCCCACAAGGATTTTGCCCCCACCTGCTCTCCTCGCCCTCCAGCAGCTTCCTGTAGGTCGCAATCTCGATGTCCAGGGCCAGCTTGACGTTCATCAGTTCCTGGTACTCGCGGAGCTGCCGGGCCATGTCAGCCTTGGCTTTCTGCAGGGCATCTTCAAGGTCGATTATCTTCGCCTTGGCATCTTTGAGGGCCAGCTCCCCACGCTCCTCAGAGTCTCCGATGGCCGTCTGCAGGGTGGCACACTGCACGAGGACGGATTGGGACCCCTAAATGCTGCTTTTCTCTTTGGGTAAGAGTCACCCAAGGAAGAAAACCACTCAGGTTGGGGTGTTAGTGAAAAAGGTAAGAGTGAGGTCATAACTCAGAGCTGGGGTTGAAATGCCAGCCTGGCAAGAATGATTTAATACATGTTACAGCTGGGTGCCCTTTTCAGGAGGGGGTTCAACACATTTAATGAGGTGCGTCATACTCTGTGGCTGCTAAAGTCCCCGATCAGGAAAGCAGAGCTGCAGTGCTCTGTGGGGACCACAGAAAGGGGCTCATTTTGCTGTTCCTACCTGGTTCCTCGTGTTCTCTATCTCTGACCGGATCCTCTGGATCAGGCGGTTGAGCTCAGAGATTTCCCCCTTTGTGTTGCGCAGGTCATCCCCGTGCTTCCCTGCCGTGGCCTGCAGCTCCTCGAACTGAGGGTCAGAAGGAAGAGTAAACCATCTGAGATATCCAGGTGGGCAAGATGTGGCTCCAACGGCCTCCTATCAGGACAGCAGTAGTTTTCCCGCAGAAATGCATCCGTGGCATCTATGGGTCTGTTCACCTTGGTTTGGTACCAAGCCTCTGCCTCGGCCCGGCTCTTGTTGGCAATGTCTTCGTACTGAGCTTTGACTTCAGCTATGATGCTGCTGAGGTCCAGGTCCCGGTTGTTGTCCATCGACAGGATGACGGCGGTGTCGGACACTTGTGCACTGAGCTGAGCCAGCTCCTGCAGGGAAGCAAACAGGATCCTGGACAGCTGCACTTACCTTTTCAAACGTCGTGAGTGATGGCAGTCACTGCCCAGGGGGTGGCAACGGGACAGAAGTCAGGGGAGGATGGTCTCTGTACCGCATCGTAGAGGGCTCGTAGGAAACTGAGTTCATCAGTCAGGGCATCCACCTTGGCCTCCAGCTCCACCTTATTCATGTAAGCAGCATCCACGTCCTGGAAAAGAGCAACCGTGGGGGACATCTGCAGCACCTGGTGCCTCTTCTTTAGCCCAGCCAAGAACTGGAGATGAGGCTGCCTCTTGCCCTGCTGCTGTTCTGCCACCTCACTGGAGAAGCTGCGCTTGGCACAGCCCCCTAGAAGAACACCAAGAGGACGTCTCTTGGCCAAAAAGCCCTACTGTGTGTAACTTGTGAGTGAACAAGGAGCTGGGGGTGCAGACCTTCTGGCCTTGGTGCTTGGGGTCTGCAGCACTACTGATCGTCTTTGTTTCTACATGGTCTGGCTTGCCTAGGCAAGCATACGTGTGTGCTGTGGGAGAAGAATTTACTTCCATCCTCCAAGCCCTTCCATTCCTTTCCCCCGAAACCACAATCCAAGTGACAGCTTTTAAAGGGTGAGGATGAAGCTCCATGAGATCTCCCATCCTTTAGGATCTTCCCAGCCTGCGCGGTGGTTCAGGTGGGCTCAGCATCCCTAACGCCTCCTGTCTCACCCACCTTCTTCAGCACCACAAATTCATTCTCTGCTGCCGTGCGTCGGTTGATTTCCTCTTCGTATCTGCAGGCATGAAGGGATAAAGAAGTGCTGGATCACACCTCGGAAAGCAGAGACGTTGTACAGGTAGGACTGCAAGGTTATCTGGGCTGGCTACGGCATTTCCAAATCAACCTCCTGGAGACAGCCCAGCTCAAATTTTTTGAGAATCCCGTTTCCCAAAGGGTTGAAGTGACATTTTGACATCATGCAGATGGAATGAGGAAGGGAAAGCTGGTTTAGATGATTTTCCCTATACAAGTGTCATCTCAAGTTGTTGTGTCCTGGCTAAATCTGCATTTTCTGATTTGAAAAATGCCACAAGACCAGCTATTTTCTGCTGCTGAGAAAGGCAGGTGTTCTGCAGGGAGAGATACCTCGGAGGAATGCTGTATTAGAGGGGGGTAGTTAGGTACGATGTTATGGGCTAGAACACAGACAGGAGATACTTTTTTTCTCTTTTCTGTCAAAAGTTTGATGAATATCTTAGGCTAGATGTTTGACTTTCACAAAGCTAAATTTAATTGAGATTAATCCTAATGCTAAGCTGAACCATTTGCATCCCGTTTCACCCCAGGGTGCCTGGGCTTGCTGCTAACAGGCACTCACTTGTTCTTGAAATCCTCCACGAGGTCTTGCATGTTCTTCAGCTCCCCATCCATGCGTCCTCTCTCATTGAGCAGGTTGGCCAGCTGCCGTTTCAAGCTGTTGATGTAAGCCTCAAAGAGCGGGTCCAGGTTGTTTTTGCCCGAGTTGTTTTTTTGACCCTGGTCCTGCAGGAGGGTCCATTTGGTCTCAAGCACCTTGTTCTGCTGCTCCAGGAAGCGAACCTGAGCATTGGGAAGCAGAAGAGTTTAGCAGAAGATACCCGTAAACATGCTGATGGCCAACAATCACCAATAGTGACTGAGGTGCAAGGAAAATCCCAAAACAAGAGTATTAAATACAGCTCCAAATAGTCTAGGGCTCCATCTGCCCATCCGGTAGCTAAGCACACTTGCCTTCAGTGGCCAGTTCTGTGGAGAGGCAATTTAAATTAGCAAGCCAATGAGCAATCATTAGAAAAATGTGGGTTCAGCTCTTTCATCTCTCACTTTCTTTAACATCCTTTGGTTTTTCTTTCTTTGTAAGAGATATTGATCTTCATTAAAGCTAAGATCTGAGCACTAGGGCTTAAAAGACAAGTACTTAATTGCCTTTCCTTTTGCTCATATATGCTACCCATTTACCCAAGTAAAAGCCAAGGAAGGACTTAAGTTGAGTCAACATAAAGAGGACTTTAGCTTGCAGCCAATAAAGCAATAAGGACTAAGACATCTGCTGTGATTCCTCCCAGAGAGAGCTGGGTTAGATGACTGGATCTCGACCTGCAACTGGTTTACTCCATTTGAGCTAACTTATCTTATTTTCTCAGGCACAAGACCTAGAGCTAATCCTCTTATTACTGCTTTCTAGTCCAGTTTTCTGCCTTGCAACTCTTCAGAAGAATGTTCTTCTTTTGATTGCTTTCACAAAGACATGCAGATAGGAAATACGCTATAGATTGCAGATCTTTGGAGACGTATTTTTGCAGCTACAAAACCGTCTCGCTCCCTCTCTATCACGATTCCACGGCACTTGATGAAGTCTCACCTTGTCAATGAAAGAAGCAAACTTGTTGTTGAGGGTCTTGATTTGCTCCTTCTCGTCTTTTCGCACCTGATGGATGTTTGGATCTATCTCCAGGTTCAGCGGCGCCAGGAGACTCTGGTTGACGGTCACTTCTTGGATTGTGCCAACTCCAGGTGGGCCACAACCAAATCCCACTGGCGTCCTGCCACCGCCCAGCCCTCCACTGAATCCTCCCAGTCCCCCTACTCCACCAAAGCCAAACCCTCCACCACCTCCCGGTCCACCACTAAAGCTAAGCCCACCAGCACCTCCACCAAAGCCATATCCACCACCTCCACCACCAAGACC